TGATGTCATTTTGGCTGCCTTGAAAGCCGTCGCGGAGGCCATGGGGCTCCCGATAAGGCCTCAAGACAGATCAATAGGCCCCAGGGCCGGCCCAAGAGGTTTCCAGGAGGCCTTCCACGAGAGCCCGAAGAGGCCAACATCATTGATTCTCCACAGGTTGTGAAAATATTTGATGTTCTGGTATGTTTGGGGCTCCGACCGCCCGAGACAGCCGAAGAGACATATCTCGGCAGTGTGGTTGTTTTCTTCGGGCGCTTCACGGCCGTTTGGGGGCTTATTGGGAGCCGCTTGGGTAACAGTTGGATCCTCATGGCCCGATTTGGGGCCCTCTTGGGGGTCTCTTGGGCTGTCTTGGAGCTATTTGGGAGGCCTCTTGGGGGCCTTTTGGGCCGCGTTGGGTGATCGGAAAGCCAGCCAAGCGAGAACCTCAACATCCTTCAGAACAGTGCGGGAAACCAGTGGTTTGGGCCCCCGTCGGCCTCTCCAGGAAGGCCCCTTGGAGCTCTCCTGGGCCGCCTTGGGTGCCTCTTGGGCAGATGTGAGGCCATCGTGGGGACCTTCTGGGCAGTTGCAAGGCTGTTTCGGGCGCCATTGAGCCATCTTGGGCCACATTGAACCGTTATGTTATCGTCGTGGCTGTCTTGGTACCCATTTTGGAGGCCGCCTCGGTTGTCTGGAGGTCGAATAGAGCGTTGGGGAGCAACCTCCGGGTGGGCTGTTTGACCTCGCGCGCGATGCAGGGGCGCGGTCGGTCCTGGAGAACCTCGCGACGTGCTCCCAGGGAGACCAACTCATTCAGACCAAGCACTGTGACCGCTAGGGCGCATCAGTTGATTCTGGGCTTTGGAGCTCCGGCGGGGCACTTCTAACGGTTCTGGATTTCCAGACGGTTGTGTTCCAACGGGGCACGTTCTTCTTTGAAAATGGATCGCGAATCGTTGTAGGGACCTATCTGTAGGGAATGTTGGGGGAGGGTCTATTGCAACATCGCTGATGGGTCTTGGGTTTACAGTGGTCTTCCTCCTCATCCCTCCTCGTCTCCTCCTCGCCCCCTCCTCTCCCCCTCCATTTCCCCCATGCTCCCCCTCTTTCTGAAGAGAGGGGGTGGAGGTGAAGCACCTCAACAGCCACCTGGAGGCGCAGGAAGCAGAGGCCAAGGGCATCCCAAGGGAGGCCTGGGAAGGCAACGGGCAAGCGGACACGCTCGCCGAGGCGGGCGCGCAGCAGCACGCCATCGAGGATAACCAGATGGTCTGCTACGAGTGGGCGAGGGCGACGGCGCACCTGGCGCGCACGCGCATCGCAGACTGCACGAAGGGCGTCATCGTGAGAAGGCCGACAGAACCTCGCGAGCTCTGGATGGCGAGGAAGGAGGATATCAAAGCCAGGAGGGGGCGCCGCCGAAGGAAACAGCACTACCTCGACGCTGACCCGCTGAAGAGGCCGCCCACCAACCACGACCTCGCGAGGCCAAGAAGGGGCAGAGGGTGGAGGTGCCGCTGCTGCTGCCAGTCCATCCCTGCCTCAGCGCCGCTCAGAGGGTTTCAGGAATGGTTCGAGCAGCAATGTGGGGCCCGCCGCCAGCGGAGGGAAGATGCGTCAGCTACTTCGGCGTCGAGTCGCACCCCACGCACCCGCTGGGGTGGCTATGGGGGACAAAGGCGCTGGCTTTGCACGCTGTGCGCGGGCTCGGCGACGGGGATCGTCTCGGGGAAGCTACGGCGTGGGTGTACCAAGGCGCCGAGCTGCAACTCCACGAAGTACAAGCTGGTGCACTGGACCCGCCTCGCTAACGCTGAGGAGTGGGACAAGCTCGTGCGCGACGGACGGCGAGGGGAGGAGGCGACGCCAGCCGCGTCTCAGCAGGGGGGGGCGCCTAGGGAGCCCACGCCGGGCGAGGCTGAGGAGAGCGCCGAGGGAAGAAGAGGGGGGGGATGTTCCGCCAGTGCGGAGCCCCCAGGGGCTGACGCCGCGACCAGTCGAGTCTGCAGGCGTCGGCGAGGAGAAGGAGAGGGAAGCCAAGCACGGCTGCGATGAGTACTCGCAGAGGAAGGCGGAGCTGTTCGCGGACGGAGACGCTGAGAGGAGGATCGAAGTACTGAGGCTCCTCAAGGCGGCGTCGCGCGACGAGGAGTGTAGCGCTGAAGATCGCGATGGGGGCGTCGACGACGCATCCAACGAGGAGGGCGCGGCGAGAAGCGGCCCGACCAGCGCCGAGCGGAGCGAGAGAAGCAGAGGGGGGGGGGGAAGTTCCGCCAGCGCGGAGCCCCCAGGGGCCGACACCGCGGCCAGGAAGGCCAGCAGGTTGAGGCGAGGAGAAGGGGGCCCAGGTCGTCGGAGAGGAGCCGAGGCGGCGGAAGGCGGAGCGATCCGTGGACGAGGACGCAGAGAGGACCGGGCGCCGGCCGCGGCGCCTCCAGAGCGGCCGGCGCAGCCGGCGGCGGGCGAGCGCCTCCCCACAGGCGCCCAAGCCAGGCGGCGCTGGCGTGGATCGCGACCAGCGTCGCGCCGTGGGCCAGCGGGCGCATGCACGCGCCCCGCGCGTGGGCCTCCTGAGGCCCTCACAGAAAAGGCTTGAGCCGTGGCGGTTGCCGACCGCACGGCCCTCCATCGCTCTACGATTACTGTTCGAGAACCTGCCATCCTCTACATAATCATCATCAGCATCAACATCATCGTCATCATCACCACCAAGCGGCGACGGGTGGCATCAGGTGCAAGGAGGCAGAGGACGCGAAGGACCCGAAGGAGGGATGCCTGGCCAACGTCAGGCAGCGGCAGGAAAGCAGAGGGGGGGAATTTCCGCCAGTGCGGAGCCCCCAGGGGCCATCACCGCGACCAGGTGGGTCCGCAGGTGGGGGCGAGGAGAAGAAAGCCATGCGCGACGGAGAGGAGCCACGTCGGCGGAAGGCAGAGCTGGCAGCGGACAAGGACGCTTGGAGGAGGTCCAAAGTGCTGAGGCTCCTCCAGGCAGCGTCGTGCACCGAGAAGAGCAGCGCCGAGGGCCCGCGAGCGCGAGGGAAGGTCGGTGCAGACGCGGAGGCCTCAGTGCGTGGCTGCCCGACCAGAGGCAGGAAGCGAGAGGAAAGCAGAGGGGGGGAAGTTCCGCCAGCGCGGAGCCCCCAGGGGCCGCCACCGCGACCTGAAAGGTCTGCAGGAGGCGGCGAGGAGGCGCCTGCGGGCGCCGAACCTGCCCCGACACCGCCCGCGGAGAGGAAAGCCAAGCTCGACGGAGAGGAGCCGCGACGGCGGAAGGCGGAGCAGGCAGCAGCCGAGGACGCCGAGAGGAGATCCAAAGTGCTGAGGCTCCTCCAGGCGGCGTCGGGCACCGAGAAGCGCAGCGCCGAAGACCCACGAGGGAGAGACGGTGCCGACGCGGAGGTCTCGGTGCGAGGTTGCCCGACCAGCGTCTGGCAATGAGAGGAATGCAGAGGGGGGGGGAGTTCCGCCAGCGCGGAGCCCCCAGTGGCCGCCACCGCGACCTGAGAGGTCTGCGGGTGGCCGCGAGGAGGCGCCTGGGGCCGCTGAGCCTGCCCCGCCAACGCCCGCGGCGCGCCGTAGGCGGACCAAGCGGGGCGGGGATGTGACGAAGTCACCGACCGAAGAGCTCGAAGAGCTCCTCCTCCTCTTCCTCCTCCTCTTCCTCCTCCTCCTCCTCCTCTTCCTCCTCCTCCTACCCCTCCTACCCCTCCTCCTCCTCTTCCTCCTCCTTCTCCTCTTCCTCCTCCTCCTCCTCCTCCTCCTCCTCCTCCTCCTCCTCCTCCTCCTCCTCCTCCTCCCTGTTCCCCCGCAGGTCCCCCGTGCGCGGCGGGAGGGCCGGCGCGGAGGACTCTGCGGGCGGCCGCCGCCGCGCCCGCCGCGGCCCCCGCTCGAGGGGGGGGCAGTGGGGTGGATGGCAGGGAGGAGGCAGCAAGAGCGGAGGTGGATCAGGCGATCGCAAACACGGATCAAGGGGGCGTGGATTTGCGACGGGCCCCGCTTCCACGGGGAAAGTCGCGGGCTTCCGCCGCCGAGGGAGGCGGCACTGGCCGCATTCTGGGGAGGGCACCTCCCCCGATCCATGGATTCGGGGACCGCGCGCCAAATCCATGGATCGCTAGTCCATGTGTGAGCGCCCCCGAGTGGAGGAGGGGAGCAAGGGCGGAAGTGGGGGGGAGCAAGGGCGGGGAGGAGCAACACATCGCACAAGCAGAAGCATCGTGTCTCTGATGTCCGCGCTGATTTCACGGATGGAGGGCGGGTGTTTTTCAAGTTGTGGTCCTCGCTTTAGTAGGCAGAGGGCAAGAGTTCCACTGATTGAAGGCGGGTCGTTTTCGACATGTGTTTCTCGCCTTCGCGCCAAGCACATTGGCTTTGGTCTTGAGAATAAAATCGCAAGAGCTTCACGGACTGAAGGCGGACCGTTTTCGAAATGCGGTTTTGCCGTAGCGCCGCCCACATTAGTTTTCAGAATCCGCAAGACGTTCACGGATCGAGGGCGGGTGGTTTTCAAAATGTGGGTCTTGCCTTCGCACCGCGTAACCTCTCTCCAGACGGCTGCAAGAGCTTTGCGGTTTAAAGACGGGCCGTTTTCAAAATGTGATTCTCGCCGTAGCGCCGCGCACACTCGTCTTAACAAGTGTCAGATTTTCACGGGGTCTCATGGTGAACCCACCAGAAACGTTTTGGAGCAATCAAGGCTTGTCATGGCGCAACAGTTACGTTGATCCGCGGCGTTGAAATTCCACGAATGGCGTTCTTGCGCGAACTTGGACAGTCAAAACGCAGCAGTCAGATCTGACACGCGGTGTTGAATTCAGAAAATTGGTGCTTTGGGGCGCTTCAGGATTTTCGAACGGCTGTCTCCCAACGGGCCACTTTCCCAGTGGAAATGGATCCTTGTATGTAGCCTATAATGATGGAGGGTTGATTGCAGCATCGTTTGTGATTGGGTTGCACAGGTGCTCCTCCTACATCTCCTCGTAGAACAGTGCTGGGACCTCCCGGGAGAGCCCCTCCAGCGGGGGCCCGGCGGACCCCGACGGCGCGGAGCGCGTCGCCGCGACGCCACCGACGCCTCGGACTCGGTGGGCGAACGGCCCCTTTCTCGCGGGGAGCAGGCCCGCCACGAGCGAGGCCTTGGGGATGCCGCCGCCGTCGTCTTCTTCGCCATGATCTGCATCGTCGTCGTGGTCGCCGTCGTCGTCGTCGTTGTCGTCGTCGTCATCGTCGTCGTCGCCGTTGTCGTCGTCGTCGTCGTCGTCGTCGTCGTCGTCGTTGTCGTCGTCATCGTCGTCGTCGTCGTTTCCGTCACAGTCGCCGTCGTCGGTGTCGGTGTCGGGGTCGTCGCTGTTGTCGTCGCCGTCGTCGGCATCGGACGATCAGGAGCAGGAGGACGAGGTGGAGGTAGAGGTGGAGGTGGTAGAGGAGGAGGCGGACGGGGGAGGCGAAGGTGGAGGTGGATGTGGAGGTGGATGAGGGGAAGGGGGGACGGAGGAACAATAGGAAGGGCGGAGGATGTCCGCTCAGGACGAGCTCGGCCCCGGCTGCGTTGCGTTGCGGCACCTCGCCCATCTTCCTCCCTTCCCTCTCCCCCCCCCTCGTTGTCCTTGATCGGGCCACCCACTCCGCTGAGGTTTGTGGCGCGTCTCCGACTTAGCCCGCCCTGGCTGCGCAGCGTTTCATCTCGAGAACGCCCAGGCTGAGCAGCAATCAACGCGCAGATTGAACAAACATGGCATTGTCGGAAGTTTCGTGCCGTCGCCGCCGAAGCGACCCCGCGGAGGCCGACATCGAAGAGGTAATTCCCGGATTGGAGAGATCAGGTCGTCTGAAGTATCTGTGGTTGTTCATGCGCCATCCCGGCTTGACTGTGGGGTCGTATGGGCTGTTGGCATGTGCGCTCGTGTTCTTCACCAGAGTGCGCAGCCCTCGCGGCGCACGCGACACCATATTAAAAGGGGTGCATCGGTCCGTGGGGGTTGGCATGTGTCGGCGGCGAGCGAGGGGAGAAGTGAGAAGGAGAAGTCCTTCTCAGAAGCCCCCAAGCCGTCTGAGAAGCTTTCCGTGTCTTCGGGGAAGGCTCCGAAAACTGTTCAGAAGGCCAGAGGACTTCCGAGCCCTCTGAGAAGACTCGCCACTTCTCGCTTCCCCCCTGGGCTCGCCGCCGAACGTCGAGTGTTACACCGCAGATAGGCCATTTTCTGCAGCCCTGCCGCTGCAGAGGTGGCAATCGGGGCCCCTGCATGCCCATAATCTGCACCTGGTGGCCCCTGCCTGTCGTCCCCATCGCCCCCTCGCCTCCCCAGAACAGAGGGCGGAGGAGTGGGGCGGAGGAGGAGAAGGGGGAGGAGGAGGCGGAGGAGAAGGAGGTAATAATAATAATAATAACAACTCACAAGAGCGATCGTTCGAAGACCTGTCGATTCAGCCTGGCAGAAAGGACTTAAACAGGGGCTCATACGCTCAGAGACGCGCGACTGTAGAGGGGGTGACACGAGCAAGGCCCACCGACGACAGTGCACGCAAGCCCCGAATCAGCACGAAGCGTGAGGGGCCGCGAACGCCGTACACTCGTACCTGTAGCACGAGTGCACCACAAGTCTTATCCCTGTGATCTCGATTTAGATCGCTCATGTTTCAAACGAGCCTCCTGAAACCGTGACGACAGTCGAACTCCGTCGGACACACTCAAAACTGGAAGAGGAGGAGGAGGGGGGGGACGAGGAGGGGATCTGTCTCTCGGCTGGCGGCAGGGGCCTGGAACATCAGGCACAGCACGAGCGTCAGCAGGCCTCACTGCGTGCCGAACTCGATGATCGGCTGATGGGACAGGCACAGCACGAGCGTCCGCAGCAGGATGATCTGCCTGCTGTACTCGTCGAGCGCCTGGGTCAGGCACGGCACGAGCTGCCTCTGAGGGTATCACTGGGCCTCGAACTCGTCGATCGCCTGCTGAATCCTGCGCTCGAGGTCCCCTGGTGGCGCCACTCCTTCGAGCTTCACTGCTTTGTCGCGTAGCCACAACGGAACCAGGATTTGCTGCAATACCTTCTCGCTGTCGCTGTTGGGCTTGACGTTGACCTCCAGGCGCTTGGTCTTGCTGTCGTAGGTCTTGCAGCATCGTGCATATTGAACTTCTTTCAGGAGATTGTGAAGGTATTTGGACGTCTCGGGGCTGCCTTGTTTCATCTTGTCGATGTACTGCTGAAGACTGGTGGCCTTCGGCGGGTCGAGGTCTTTCACTCCAAGAGACGTCTTCGCCACGATGATCCATGCATTCCAGACGTGTACGTGAGGATGAGCGAGGGCTGCGATCTTCTGTTGTTTCTGGTCCTTCCCGTACTGCTTCGCGGCCTCCGCATAGCTCTCGGTAGAATTCTTCCCCTGGACGAAATACTCGGAGCTCTCGCTCACCTGATAGTTTTCCAATACGATGGCCCCGAGAATCCTCGACGACATAGCAGTACTGAGGGTCAACTTTGCTATGAGAAGAACGAGGGCCTGCAGGTCGTGTTGATTGGCTCCTTTGCGTCGCTCCTTCTGTGGCGGTCTGGCGCCGCCTGCTGCTAGGCCGAGATCCATCAGCACTCTCTGAGGGACCAGTAGGATGAAGAATGCTGAGAGTATCGGATGCTGAGAACTCCAATCTTCTTGGACCAGAGAGATGCTTGGTACGGATATGATGATTGTACACGTATATGTCGTCGCACTCGTAATTATTGCCGTAGAGCTTGCATATAGCGCATGAATATGTTGTGTCCGATACAATAGGAGGCGAGGGGATAAAGCTCTGGTCGACAATACATCTACCATAATGCCAACTACGCCTTGCGTGATCTTGTGCAATTTTACGAGTAGAGAAGTGTGTAGAACACCATGGACATACTGCCTCTAACACGATGGAGTCTAACGTAATCATGCCGTGCATGGACTGTTCGCGCGCCCGGTGTAGTCTGAGTGCTTTCATGGTGGGGAACGTAAGTGTGCATATGTTACCATCAGTGCGCATGAGACCACAATAATATTCACCTGTAGGTAAAGAACATGATGATGTAGTAGGATTTAGCGTGTCATACTCATGGTGATGAGGAGGTATGTTGACTGAGAGGAACTTAGCACGCAATGCTGAGATATCGATATCGAGAAAGTCTTCCTGCAATGTGCCAGCGTCTAGCAACTGCCGCGGGGATACATCTTCAAGAAAATAAGCACACTCCAGCAACGATAATGCCTGCAAGTCTTCATTCAGCTGCTGCAACCAAGGGTGAGAAATCGCATCTTCTGGGGGGTCGTGAGGAAAGCGACCGAACATAGCGGTGACGTACACTTGATGATGAAGAGGATGACTGCATATCTTCTGAAACCATTTCTATCTCTGTATACGTAACTCTGTAAGTGTGTCTGCCATGCCGATGTTGCGCCACACTTCGATCGATGGAATGGGTCGATACTTAATCGTGCCGTCGTCGAGAAGGGTCTTTTGGGTAGCCTTGCCTTTCATGAGTTTACGTGCCTTGTACAGTATATATTTGTCGAAGATGTTGTAGTCGTGCTGGGTGAGGACGAAAGCTGTGAGCCCTGAGAAAAGTGCTGACCATACTGTGCATCGAAATACGAGAACGCGAAAGCGAAGATCAGTGCGAGTGAACCAAAACCTTTTGAATATAAACCATGCTTTGTTGGCAGCTTGTATCCTTAAGTTTCGCTCGACATAGAAGCAATTGCGGTAGTGTAGATATGGCCCGAGATATCGTGCTGCGCTGAGTACTTTGTATTGTGACTGTTGTGCATGTACTTGTCGTTGATATGTATGCGCAAGCGTGCCGACGAAGTGTACGGTGGACTCGCTCTTGCCTGTGTGCTGCGCGATCGTGTACTCGTCGAATATGGTGTTCAGGACAGTGTCGTGCCGTGCTTGAGTATCGTAGAAGCTCGTAGGTGTAGTAACCGTGTACTGCTTACATAGATCGTCGACGAAGGAGGTGATGGACATGTCGATGACGGCCGCATTGAGAGGAGATACGGCCAGTAGATGATGATCTTTCGTTTTTTCCTCCCATGCGTGAACAGCTTGCCAGTACGGTACGTGAAACTCGTTGGTCGCGACACTGTTGCCTTGGAACGTGCCGCTGCGAGGATAAAATTCTGCGGGAATATCCGATGTCTGTAAAACACACGTGGCATGTCGGTGATGCTGTCGTAGTAGCCGTTCGTCCTGTTCAGCGACGTGAACTGGCGTAGCCTCCTCTTCTTCGGGAAAGTCATCGTCGGGTTGAGGCAGCATCAGAAAGTGAGTAGCTTTGTCCATAATGTCATGAGACGGCGAAGCGAACGCGTTGACCACATCGTAGTGGTGATTGGCGATACTGATACCATGTTTGGAGCACCGATGAGAAACCAACATCTTGACAAGAATAGCTTCTTCTCGACGGCGGCCAGGAACAGCAAACGCGTGATGAGGTGGAGGCCGCGAAGGTTTGCCAGGCCGACGTAAAAGACCTTTGTGATAAGCCTTGGAAAACGATGATATGCTGTGAACGATTCGAACGTCATCTTTTTTGGGAATTTGAAAACCTTGGCTGCGATGAAACTGAAATGGACTGTGACCAGTAGCCCGTGTCATGTCGAGGATGTGCTGAAGGCGTTTGACGAAAAGCTTCGGCTCGTAAAGTGTGGGACCATGACCAACTCCATGTGTCTCCTGCTTGTAGACTGCCTGGGGCCACAATATCATTTTCCAAACTTCGTTGGGGACATCCCAGGAAGGAGGCGTTCTACGATTTGAGCTTTTTCGTATCCACCAGCTGACTTGTTTGAGGTCATATTCACCAAGCAAGTGGCACTGATAACTAACGTGAACTTCGTCATCATGATCGTCGAAGAATTCCTGACGTACTTGTGAGGTAGGTAAACGTATGCAATTCCAGCCGCCTTGAGAACCAGGTTGGGAAAGTTTGGCAAACCAATCGGCTTCTGAGCGCCGTCGAAGTGCAGCTTTGTGATAATTACGAAGTCTTCGTCCGATGCGTCTGCCTGTAAGAAGTCGTGCCAATTGCCATGCTTCAGCCAGTCGTCGTTGTCGCCAGGCGTCTTGAAGCTCGAGACGTCGTTGTTCGTTAAGTTCTTTGAGACGTGAGGCGTGAAGGCGACGAATATTACGATTGACACGAAACAGTGATGCCAGATTATGCCAGTGCTGAAACGAGTAGTAAAGAATGCCATGTTGTGAAACGACAGGCGCTTGTAGGCACTGAACTCGTAGCTCCCGTCGTTGTCGAAGTAGCTCTTGACGTTCATGAGAATGCGGTCCAGCTTGTTGAGCCTGCTTGCCGTAATGTGATGCAGCAAGAGGGAGAAGACCTTTTTCAACAAGCATTTCCCATTGTTCAGATGAGCTCTTGTTGGCGATAGCATCAAGTACGAAACGGTTGTCCTCGGTCCACTTGTCAAGAGCGATGAGAAACTGTTGTCTTTTTGAACCCTGCATAACAGATTGTACAAGTCGGTCGAAATCCCAGCGAACGTGACACTCTGCTTCTTGCCCTTCGTATCGTAGATTGTGCTCAATGAGCGCATAGACTGGGTGATGATCGACTCGACGCGTGTCAGGAACCAGCTGCAAACGATCCCCAAGAGAACGTAAAGTCTGACATTTGCGAACGTGCTGCGCCAAATAGAAACTGCGAGGCACAATGATGAAATCAATGTAGCTTGAGGAGCCAGACACTCCATGATAATATGTGGGGAAGGTGGGGTAGAACGTGTTGAGTAAAATCAAGTCATGCTTGAGAAGAAACTCTATGAACTGATGGGTGCGAGGTTGCTGAAGACTCCTGTTAAAAGGCCCAGTGCAGGAATCGTCGGTAGGTGTGGGGCCCGCTGGGGTCCTGATGAGCCCGATATGCTCGTTAGAGTCGATGCCCAGCACAGGTAGTGTACGGGATGGTAGGGAAGAATAAAGTTCTTCAAGCCACGCCAGCGTTTTTTGATAATCTCGTCGGGATCTGGCCGTGTCCGTGTTGGGGGGGAGGTAGGCGGAGACGAAGGTGATGTCCGACTGGTGACTTTTGCATCTGACAGCGCCCCCCCGACCCCAGAGATACTGCTGCTTAGGGTAGGACACGGAGATGATGTTAGACCTCGAAAACCTCTGGGAAGCTAACGCGATAGTGACGCCAGTATGTGTGTGTGAATCCCCCTACTTTCCTCCTATCTTGCTCATATCCATCGCCCCTTTCGGCTCGGATGCAGGTACTCGTACTCAGAGGGTGAAGTGGACAACTTCCATCATCCTCATCACGTCTACCTACGGACACTTTGGGGGTGGGTTCGGTCCTTCGGTCCCCCTCCCCCTCACACAGGTTATCAGCCTTCTCTGTTCAAAACGCAATCGCTCCAACTTCCGCGCTTCCTGAGCCCCCCACTCAGTCGCGATGGAGGGCGGTGCGCCTCTCGGCCCCGCGCCTCTTCGCGACGGCGTGGCGGACCCCGTGGCGCGCAACTTGGAGCAGGAGATTGAAGTTTTGATGGACGTGCATGGCATCCCGCGAGCTGATCGTGTGGCCATTTCTCCAGGTACTGAGGGTCTTGACGCTGGACAAGGACACGCTCCTGGTACTCCTCAGTTCCAGGCCCCTTCCTCGTCGTCAGTCGTTCATCCCGTCGCGTCGCCCGTCGTGTCGGATGCAGCGGGAGACCGCAGCTCGGGTGCTGCGCAGCATCTCTTTCAGAGCGCTGAGGTCCTCGTGCCACGGAATGATCCGCCCAGAAATGCTGTCAGAGCGAGACACCCTGTGGCTCCTGGAGTTCCTCAGCTCCAGACTCCTCAACCTCCTCAAAATCTGACCCCGACTTTTCGGGCCCCTGCTGGGGGGGCCCACTCGGAGGCTCTTTCGCCTCCACAGGGAAGTCCCGTGCAGAGAGGCTCTGGAGGATCTCGCCGCTGGGGCGGGAGTCACGCGAACGCCGGCGCGCCAGGACGGAACCCAGTCACCCGTGCCGTGACGCCAGTCCGAGAGCACGTCCGCGCCCTCGAGTTTCGTGCTCAGACCCGCGACGGCGCAGCCTTCGCCGGTCGTCAAGTCACTGTTTCTCGTTCTCGCGCAGCTTCGCCTCGTGACAGACGTGGCCCCGAACAGTTCCAGATTGCAGCCCAGGATTTGCACAGCCGCAGTCCCTCCCAGAGGGCACGAAGACGCGCTGTCAGCTCACCTGTGGCTGCGCCTGCCGCCGTCCCCCTAACAGATATGGCTGAGCTAAGAGACCAGGTACAGACGTATGTGGAGCATCAGACTGCTCTCGTGCACCAGGCAACCGCCACTGAGACTGCGATCTTGCGATCGGATCTCGCTAAAGGTTTGCAGGAAGTCGACGCTAGGTTGTACGAGGATCGTCACGTCATGTGTCAACTCGTTTCGAAGGTCGATGCTGTTGCCGCTCAGCGTGGCCAAGACCGCTCCGAGCTTGCCGCTGTGCACTCCGAGTTCTCTCATTTGGAAGCA